TGGAGCACTGCTACTGACTCAAAAGGATTCTCTGGTTATTTCTGAAGTTTCTCTGCATTTGTGTCTATCCTACTGTCATGGATCCTGGCTGGCTTTGCAGCCCTGTCTCTGTGCCATTGTTAACCTCCTTGTGAAGAGGCAGAGCCTCCTGCTTAGGGGGTGGGGCAATTGAAGCTGTCTGAAGTTGGGCAACTACTCTGTGTTGGGCCCTTTGTTCCTCTGTAGCCAAGGGAGAGAGAAGTGGTAGTGGAGGACAGTTCTTCCCATCAAGCTGAATGGGATAAATAGCTCTCAAGATGTTCTTGCCTCTCTCAGCTGGGTACAGAAGGAGCCTGGGCACCAAGTGTAAGAGAGCCATTTATGAAATGGGTTCCTATATTGATGGGGGCCCATTAACGGAACAGCCAGCATCACTCAGCCAGGATTCTCTTTATCAATCCTGTGTCTGCTTTACTGCTTTTGTTTTGATTCCAGTGTGACATTGGGGAACTCGTGGTAGCTCGGCAGGATGCCACCCCTGGAGCACAAGCCAGCATGCCTGCAGCTGTCTTGGTGGGCAGTGCTCACTCCCTTGTGCACTAGAAACATTTTGGTGACAGGGGGGTGTTTGGGCAGGGAGAACAGACAAGTTTCCTGAGGACAGAGGCTGCCAGACTTCCAGAGAACTCCACCTCTCCAAAAGCCACTTTAGGCCAGCCAAAAGCCAAGGTGGAACAGAAGCTACACCATGTGCCTCCTGGCACTCAGCCCTGCCTGCTCTCCCCTCCTGCTACTGCTGCTGAAGGCTATAAGGCTGTCACCTCATCACAAAGTCGTAAATTATGCTCCTAGTGCCTGCTGTCAGCTGGGCTGTCAGTTCCCGAGCAATGCGTGGTGCCCTTGACTTTATGCTTGTCTGCACCACACTGACTAACTGTGGGCATCATATAAATAATAAACACTAATTCGCCTTAATACCTTCCCTCTGTCCTGGGTTTTACAGCAACACAGTCAGCCACAGGTCGTGTGTGCAATCACATCCCTGTCAACAGTGTAATCTGTCTCCATGTCGCATCTAGACAGGTCTAATTTAACAGCGATGTTTTTTAGAACTAGCTCATAAATGGTTTGCTCCATGCTGCTCCCAGCCCTGCTCTCAGCACTCCCATCATCCTGGTGTGTGGCCCATGACTGTTTTCAGAGATGGTCTCTGGCTTGTTTGGTTGTGGAGGAACTCAGGGCTCTACTTGGGTGCAGTTCATCTCTGCAACCATGAGCAGCTCCACGGTGCATGTGGCTGGAATATGATACCTGCAGAGGCCAGGGATGACAGCCTGTGGATGTGGGTGCTACAGCTCAACAGTGTGTTGTGATCACTGCTCTGTCCCAGGCTGGGGCATAGCCATGGGTTGCCTCATAGAGCTTCTATGCAGCCAGACCCGCAGCGAGGGATTGTGGCTGATTGATTTTGTTTTGTATCCTTGGAAACTGAAAAGGCATTAAAATTGCATGGTGTATGCTGTGCTGATGCACTCTGCTCCTTATAGTGCAGCTTTGGGCTTGGAGATGGCTTCAGCCTCCAGCTGCAGGCTGTAAAGGGCACTGGTTTGAGAGAAAAGCTAAGCTACAACTGAACACTGAACTATTTAGAGGGAGTCCAACCAAGGCCAGGTTGGATGGGCCTTTGAGCAACCTGGTCTAGTGAAAAGTGGCCTTGCACACGGCAGGGGTTTGGAACTGCGATTCCCTTTCAATCCAAACCATTCCATGATTCTGTGAAATACCTTTGTGAATTGCAGTGCTAAGGTCCAGGAGGGTGTCTGGCTCTGAGACATCCCTGACCATGGCTCAGTACCTTCTCTGTTTTGTTTCTCACAGCAGAGTTCCGGTCCAAGAGGAGTTTCCTGCCTCCAGACCATCCCCCCCCGTAGCCATAGGGACTGCTGGGGCTGGGGCCGGGCCTAAGGTGAAATTCCTGCCACTTGGAGCATGCACAGCCTGAGGAACAGGACTTGCAAAAAGCCCAAGTATCTGCTTAGGGCTTCATTATCTGACACTAAAAGGGAATTAATATAATCCCTCTGAGATAGAGACTACAGAGTACAGGGTAAAAATGGGGTCGTTCTCCAGCCTTTTACACCTTAAAATAAATTTACTAAATCAGAAATACTTGCTACAGTGGCTGATGTGTGGATGTTTGTCATCTAGTGCAAGGTGTGCACAGAGCCCTTGGGCAGGGCTGTCACCCGTATTTGGCTGTACACAGCAAAGGGTGTAGGCCAGCACTGCCTACACGAGAGCTCCCCTTGGCTTCCCAGTGTGTTACTGGCTGCTGGATTGGACCCTGCTTGTGGAGTCCCACAGGTGCTGCCAACAGGTGAGAAAGCTCTGAGATCAGCCCTGCCCTCACCTGTTCTCAGGTGGTTATCAGGCAGCTCTCCTCAGCACTGGGGAAAGAGGCTTCTCTGGAATCAAACCAGGGCCATGGGAAGGAGTGCTGAAGGGTTGTCCCCAGTCTGGAGCTGCCATCAGCCCACGGGGACTGCTCCCAATGCTGCCATCAGTGTACACAGTCTCATGGTGTCTCACTAGCACTTGCCGTCCTGTCCTCAGCCAACAAACCTCATTTTGCATCAAAGCTGGGCTACTGTCTCTCAGACACCAAATTTTCCATTTTCTAAAATGGTACCAGAACAAAGGCTCTCCTACCTTCTCACTTGCTGGTAATTAATGCCATGGCTGCCTAGTCACACAGTGGGTGTTCATCTTTATGCATGTGTTCAGAGAAGATGAACATAATATCTGCATCACAGGGTCCTGCAAGTTGATTTGCTGGGGAAGAGAGATGCCTGATGCTTCAGGAATTCCTCTAGCTACGACAGGATCTGCTGGGCACCTTGGTGGTCTCCTCAGCTCTGCACAGCCCTGCAAGTCAAGGCGCTCTGGCTGCTCCTTGTCGAAGGTCACGCCAGGAAATGTCCACTGTCAGTGGGCCTTGAGCTGCTCCTGGAGATGCTGCCGGTGGGTAACGCATAGGATGTTACTGAGTGCCCTGTGCCTGCTTGAGCATGGTCAGAGCTGTGGAAGAAAGGGAATGGGGCAACTGTGTGTGCGAGTGCATGGGGAGGAGAGAAAAGCAGTGAAGAGAAGCCACAGCTGGTTGTGGGCTTCAACTATTGGGCATGGACTACTCGGAAATAATTTGGTGAAGTGTACCAGATCCCCACAAAGCCTTGCTGGCAATGAGTCACTGGTTAATGTACCACTAACTTGGATTTATAGGTTTAATATTTTTCTGTTGCACTGCTGCTGTTGCTGTGTAAATTGCTTCATCAATTTTCTTTCCTGTCCTGAGGTATGTTAAGATAGGATCTTTTGGGGTTGTTATTTTTTTAATAAATAGATTATATTTCAAAGAATATTGAAAAATTTCATTGTCATTTATTCCTCAAGACTCAAAATGGTCTCTCTAATGTCCTAGTCCAATTTCAAGGTGGCTAACTGTCTCATGCCTATATAAATCTCCTTTTTCTAAGGACTTAATGAATATAACAGCCACTCTCGATGCATTTATTTAAATAGTAGTCATGAAGGAGGAGCTTTTAATGAAACCATCTTTATTTTTTAAAAAACCCACCAACATATTTATAAAATTTTTAAAAGTGTCAATATTCTTCCTTTCTGTGTCTGACTGAATACAGGCATTTTACTCACTGTTTTTAGTAATATACGTGTCAATTTTCCCTTCCAGAGATCAAAACTCTGCTCTGGCAAGAGATTTAAAAGTAGGTGCTCAAACTCGGCCATATCCCACGGAGCCAGGGGAGAGTGGCTGTGTGCTGTCGTGGCAGTGACGCTCCCTGTTTGGGACAGGTTGGGCAAAACTGGGACTGGCAGTCCGAGGTGTCTGTGCTTGCACTGTTGGATGTTCACGGCCGCCCGGGCTCCTGAACACTGCGTTTCCCCCTGCGGAGCCCAAAACCCACTTGAGCAAAGTGAGGGAAAATGGATTTAGGACTTGTGGTATTTAAGTTGCTGGGTATTTAATGTCTGTAATTACTAATTTTTGAGACTGTACACACATCGTGTATACACACACTATATATATCTGTACACAGACACATACGTATGTGTGAGCATGTGTATTTGTTAGGGTTCATGAGTAAGACGCCTTCTGCTGCCATTGCCTCTTTCCAGACAGGCTGGTGCGGTGCAGGCGACCCTGGGGCCGTGCAGAGGCTCTAGAGAAGTGCCAGGAGCACTTGGCTCCTCCGGTAGATTTCAATGGGAACGAAGCCCTCAGTTCAGTAGTGAGGAGCCTTAAATGAGTCTCGGCTTTAAAATACAGAAGGGTGTTGCGCACCCTGCTCGACTCTCCTTTCCCTTGGCGAAGCGCTGAGGAAGGTGAGTTCTCCCCGGCCATGGGCTCAGCACAGTTTCGCCCAGCCAGCCTCCGGGTTCCCTTCGGCCGCCGGGGATTCCTCCGGCCCCCAGTCCCCTCGGCCCGGGCTCCCCGGCCGCCCCACACCGCCCCGTCCCGCCCCGCCCCGCCCCGCCCGGCTCCCGCACCGCCGCGTTCTGGGGTTGGCGGCTCCTCCCGGCAGTGCGGTACCGCGCGGCCGCCATTGCATCACCAGCACCCGCGCCAGCCGCGCCTGCAGCCCGCACCCCGCATCTCGCACTCCGGCACCGGCTGCAGCTCCGGCTGGGAGCGGCGGGGCGAGCACGGGCTGCCCGGCAGCTGGGGAGCAACTCGCGGCCGGGCTTCAGAGCCGGTTCGGCGGCTTCGGGGCCGCGCCGGCAGAGCCGCCGTCCCCCCAGCCCCGCGTTCGGCGCAGCGCTGAGGCGGCGGGAGCTCGGAGAGATGCGCCGGTGGTGACGAGGCAGTGGCAGCCGCGCAGGGCCAGCGCCACTCGCCATGGGCCCCGCCTGAGCGGCGCTGCCGCGGCCGCCCCAGGGCCCGCGGACCGGGCATGGGCGGCGCGGCGGCGGGCGGGCGCTGAGGGGCCAGCGGCAGAAGGATGGAGGCGATCTGGCTGTACCAGTTCCGCCTGATCGTCATCGGCGACTCCACAGTGGGAAAATCCTGCCTCATCCGCCGCTTCACCGAGGGGCGCTTCGCCCAGATCTCCGACCCCACCGTGGGCGTGGATTTCTTCTCCAGGCTGGTGGAGATCGAGCCTGGCAAGAGGATCAAGCTCCAGATCTGGGACACGGCCGGGCAGGAGCGGTTCCGGTGAGACCCGCGGCGCGGGGCCAGGGGCTGCGGGCCGGGCCCTGGCTTGGGCGGGGGGCCCGCAGCCGGGTGAGTCGTGTGGAAATGAGACAAAGAAGAGTAAAATTGGCACCTTTTGTGCCCCCCCGTCCCTCCCCCCCATATCCCTGGGATCCGTGTCCATCCCAAATGACCGAATGCAGGCGTGCAGGATGTGCAGGGGTGGATGTCGAGGAGCGGCCCCGCTGCCGCTGGGGAGAGGTACGAGGCCCGAGGCAGAACTGAGTCGGCGTTTTACCAGCCTGGAGGTGTCCGTGCATCAGCAGATGTAGCTGGCAGGGAAAGCGCCTGCTTCCTCCCGGTGGGGAGGCAATGACCAGGATGTCTCACAGACGAACACTTACGCTGAGGCTCACGAAATACAGTGGAATATGTGTTTTGGTGCTCTGCTTCGACAGCGGAGCTCAGCTCTCCGTAGAACAGAGAAAGGTCGGGATAAACCCTTGGCTGTGGCTGTGTAGGGATGACAGGTGCTTTCTGAAGAGTGCCACGCCAAGCGCTGCATGGGCACAGACAATTTGGGAGCTTAAGCAACAGTAACCAAGTCTCGATGAAGTAAAATAAAGGCAGCGTGTGGGACTGTGCCAGGTTTCCCACAGGACTTTGTGGGAAAAACAGCAGCCCTGGTTGGAGCAGACTCGGCCCCAGCCAAAGAGGGGCTCAGACCTGCTGCTCAGACAGCGCTCATTTTGAAGGGGTGTCAGTGTATCCGCAGCTCCTGGCCTCCTGTTTGCTTGTATTTTTCATCTGTCTTTAACCCTGATCCGCTTTTCCATCCTGCTCCCTCTGGAGCTCCCTCTGTTTCCTGTGTTCCACATCTCTGTGTAGCATCACAGAGTTTCTACTTCTGTGCAGTAATGACTTGCCTGAGGAATGTTTTGGTTTCATTCAGTAGATGAAAACTTTCTTACCCTCACCTCTCTCACCTCCTTCCCTTGCATCTGTGGCATTGGTGTCTGGCCCAGGATGTGCAGTAGTTGGTCCTTATCCACTGAAAAGTTTTTCCTTTGCTACCTTGAAGCCTTGCAGGCAAGGAGCTGGTGCTTTATTCCACTGAGAGAGGAGGTGCTTTAGCTTGCAGTTGCATCAGCTTCCAGCTGCATCAGCTTCCAGCTTTGGATCTCTGAGGTCTATAGAAAACCTGAGTCTGTAGATGCCACCTGAGTGATGTCCCCTCTTCCTGCCGTTGCTGTGAAGAACAAGAGCTATTGGATGGCTTCAATTTCCTTTCTTTTAAACATTAGAAAGTTAAGGGCCTCTTCTTGCCCTCGGTGCTGGGGCTGACCTGGCCAGGCACTCGGGTTGTCAGCATGATGAGCAGGTGACCTTCAGCTCAAGGGCAACTGCACTGCTGCGGTGGGCAGCAGCCTGCAAAGGCAGGAAGAGTGCAAGGGGCAGGAATGGTCAGTGACATTAAAAAAACTCACTGTGCAACTTTGCAATGCCCTTGCCTAAGTGCAGATTTGAATTCCCAATGTGAAAACCCAGAGCAAACCCAAGGGCCCTTATGGTGCACTTTGAAATGTGGAAGGAAAAAAAAAAAAGAGAAAGATAAAATCTGGTTTGTGTTTATCCCTTTCAAATCACTCAGCTCTGTGACAAAGACAAATTGTGCCCCATGAAGACAACTCATTGAGTTCCTCCTACAAGATATGTTTCTTGGCCAGAGACAAGAATTAGCTGTTACTGGAATAGGCCAAAGCCCCTTGGACTTGTCATAGGCAAGAAGCACAATGGAGCAGGTGCTGTCCAGAAACCTGAAACCTTTTTTGTCATTTGTCAAGTACAGAGAATTTCTTAAGAGGGAAATCTGTAAGAATGAGCTTCCCTTTTTCAGATTTGAGTATTTCCAGTCTGCTTCACATAGTTTAACAGCTGTCCCACGAGGGCAAACCACTGTAGTTATTTTGAAAACACCTTGGCATTCTCTGAGCAGCAGCTGTGTTACAATTTTGCTCTTCCTGACCCCCTGTTGTGAGCTGTTTCACTCTCCATAAATTAGCAGCAATTTCTGTGCAGTCAAGGCTTAAATTACAGTTAAACATGTGCCACTCTGTTTTCCAGACCAGGCTCCAAAACATGCTGCCTGAGGCAGTGTTTAGGCTACTTTGGAGGTGTAGAAGAGCAGGATCCAATTCTTCCCGGATCCAGCAGGTTTTGCCCATCTCTTGTTGCTCAAATACTGTTATTTCCTTGTCTGAAATGTGATGTTGTGTAATACTAGCAAAAACAAAAGCCTGTGCAGCTCTCACTCCCTGGAGCTGTGTCCCATCACCTACAGAAGAGCTGTTTCCTTCCAGCCAGCAGCTCTTCCTTAACCGAGAAGGAAAAACTCAAACAAACAGGCATGTTTGTGACTCCTGAGTGCAGGAGTCCCTGCCATGGGTACAGAGCAGGGGACAGTTCCCAGACAGAGACATTGCCTGTATGTTAAAATTTGGCCAAAGTAGGTGCAAGTCCCTGTACTGCTCTGCGGCAGTGTGTGAGTGTGGCAAGAGGAGGGAAGGTAGAAATCTTGGAAGGGAAGTGGGGAGGGATGTGCAGTATGAAGGCAATATGCTTTGCCTCCTGCAGATCGGTGAGGGAAATAGTTGAGGAAAAGGCTTTAAGAAAAGGCACCGAGACCTTCACCTGATTTTAGCTTGAAGCAGCATTCAGCTTAGATCTCATCATGTCTTTCAGAAATACCTGAGGCCTTGTTGTTGCTGGCAGGAGGAGCCAGGGCTGATGGCACAGGACACAAGGGAGAAGCAGAAATGTCTGTGACAGTGTGGGGGTGAATTCTAAGTGCCAATATCTGTTTGCAGCTGGCCAGATAGGAAAAGGCAGATCTAATTCCCTCAGTGCCAAATGTGTAGAGTGACTATTGTCCCTAAGCCAAACAGTTGAAGAGGAGAAATTATCCAAACATAGCCAACTATGGTTTTTTCCCCTGCTTCTGGCTTTCTTCAGTTTTGCCTGTGAATTTTCACCCATCACTGTATGTTTGTTGATAAAACAATTCTTGAAAACTCTAGTTCATCCTTTTTTGGGGCAATTTTGACAGATACACACACTACAGGACCAAACGGCACCTAACAACAGTCTTTGCATAGCCAAAAAAAGACTTTTCCTAAGGTAAAAATGCAGCAGTGCTTATATTACTCCAGCAAGGAGAGTTCAGGCCTGAGTGTGAATTCCTCCAAGGACTGAAATCGATCATTGCTTCTGGATTTAGAGTGAATCCATGACATGCAGAAACACTACTGTTCATCAGCTTCTTGGTTTTCCCTTATGTAGTCGCTGAACTGTAGCTCTGCTTAGCCTCGTGGCCTCAGCTTTGTTCCATCGCCTTGTTTGCTGATTTCCTGTGCTGCTTCTGGGCTGCCTTGGGCTGACCTGACTCGGAAGAGCTGTGGGAGATGTACTCCATTTTCCAGCCTGCAGTTCTGGGGTCTTTTTGTTGGCTATTTAATGTTACCAGTATTTGGCAGGAACATGACCAGTGTTAGTGCAGATTCTCTTTGGAAGCTCTTGTATCATTTTGCTGTTTCTCGGGAGGTCAGATGGGCTGCTCCTGTCAGTGCCACTAACAGTAACAGTGTCCTATCACTGCAATGTCACTTTAATCCAGTCGTGTAGTGGAAGACGCTGTATAGATGGGTGGATGTTCCCATCCCAGTGCCTTAGGTGTGTGGAGGGGACCTACAGCCCCATGGTCAGCCTTCCAGATCTCTGACCTTCTGCTTTTATGTGGCTGTCAGAGAGTGGGTGTTTGGTTTCAACTGAATCCTTTGATTTGTCATGGTTCTTCTAAATCAGTGGGTTAGATGAGGTGTCCAGAGAACTGACATGGTGGGCAGTGGGACTCAACAGCCAGGGCCATACAGAAATCCATGGGAGTGAAAAGTGGTGGGAGAGATTTTGAAGAGAGCCATAATAAATCAGTGGGGCAGTTACCCAAGTGTGAAATCTTTAAGCCAAAATAAATATTCCTTTTAAATGACAAGTTCTAAAGAGCACAAGCTAGAAAGTCTAAGACATTGCCTGAATAGTTTTGTCTTGCCCAGAATTCTGCAGGGTAGACAGGGTGGTGGTAATGCTGCTTTCTTAAAGGATATATATTAAGACAGCTGTAACTTAACACTGTTGTGGCTCCTTGGCTTGCAGGTCCATCACCAGAGCCTACTACAGGAACTCGGTTGGAGGACTCCTCCTCTTTGACATTACAAACCGCAGGTCTTTCCAGAACGTCCACGAGTGGCTGGAGGAGACCAAGGTGCATGTCCAGCCATACCAGATCGTCTTTGTTCTGGTAGGTCACAAGTGTGACCTTGACACACAGCGTCAAGTGACCAGGCACGAGGCAGAGAAACTGGCGGCTGCATATGGTATGAAGTACATTGAGACCTCAGCTCGGGATGCTATTAACGTGGAGAAGGCCTTCACTGATCTGACTCGTGATATATACGAGCTAGTGAAAAGGGGGGACATTTCAATCCAGGAGGGATGGGAAGGGGTAAAGAGTGGGTTTGTCCCAAATGTAGTGCACTCTTCAGAAGAAGTGGTGAAATCAGATAGACGGTGCTTGTGCTGAGCTCCTCTAGAGAGGTGAGTGGTGATGAACTCTACTAACCAAATGTACTTTACTTAGTGAACTCAGTATGACAGAAGGGAGAGCAACACTCCCGTTGTGAACAGCCTCCCACATTGTTTTGGACACCAGGACAAACCCTGGAAAGAAATGTTCTGTTCCAAATAACCTTTCAGAACTGGGGGCTACAAAACTGAAGGAGAATGAGTGAGGGTGCGTGTGGATGTTGTAAGGACAGAGGAAGCAGAAATGAGGGGCTGCACAACACAGGAGAGAGTATACAGAGCTGAATGGGCTGGTACATGCCAGGGTACTGTACACGTTACCTTTTAAGTAAACCTATAGCTCCCTGCTGGCTTTTGGAGCCACAGGATGGATACTCAGGCTTATGACAAACAGGCAGACAGAGGGAAAGCAGGAGGACATCTTGGTTTGTGTCAGCTATTTCTTTCCAGGAAGGTCTAAAGGCAGCACAGATACCATTTCCTCATAAGGTCAGTTCCACAGGAGAAGTTTACTGACATGGTATGCACACTTCTAAGTTTTCTTTCGTATGTTCTTGAACCTAGTTCGATAGCAAAGAATATTTTGTGGGATTTAAAGAAAACAGTAGTTATTTGATTGGTAATTAAAATTTAAATTATTCCTCCCTTAACAGTGTTTTTCTTGCTGTGCTGTACCAAGACTCCAAGTGGCAACTCTTACTGCAGTAGGGATTATTCAGTGCAATTTTTACTCATTTACTGTCTGGGTGAGTACCTTGAAAGTACCCCAAGTTCAGGGCTTTCTAGTTGAATTAAGTGATCAAGAGCATAAAGAGAGAACCATGTCCTCAGGTGTTATGTGTTAAGACTGGGGTGTTGCAGCCAGGTGGGACACACCATTTCTGTCTCAGTAATAGCACTGTGCTGACCTTACCAGCCAGGTCACAAGGAGGAATGGAAAGGAGGGCGGGAAAAAAGAAACCCAACAAAATAAGAAACTTGAAAAGCTAACTCAGGTGCATCAGACATCCTAAAAGCTGTGATTTGCTCTTAAAGAAGTTAAATAGCATTGAAAGCAACAGCTTCCATTGATACTTTCTGCTGTTAAAGTGTAATTCTCTGTCTTGGCCTCTGTGGAAGAGAACTGGCACTGGAAAGGTGGAACACGCAGCAGGAGTATCTGAGCAGGTGTAAAGGAAAGCCTCAAGACACACTCAAGAATAAAATTTGTTTTCCTCCTGACAAAAGAGGATCCATCTCAGGCTGGCCATCATGGGATGGCAGCCATGTCACAAAAGCTGTATGGAGGTGGATGTGTCCTGGGAATGCCATTCACCACTTAAAAGCTTTGCTTCTGCCAAATTTTAACCCAAGCTTTTGAAGTGCAATGGGTTGACTGTGCTGTAGCAAATTAGGGACGTTCAGCCTATTGAAAGTGAATAAACAAAACTATAGTGACTTTTTAACTTGTGTTTGAAAGCTTTATACACCAACCTGCAAATGGGCAGGAGGAAGATATTAGGCAAAAGCTGCAGGAAGCATCTAGTATTTATTTTAGGCCTCTGAGTAGAGAAAAAAAAAAATTGTTCCAGCTTTTTAATCTGTCCCATCTACAGAAATACAGGTCTTGATTGCTATTGAGTTCAGACTGTTTCTCCTGAACCTGTTCTCTCAGTTTGCAGCAGCACATGGGCAGATCTGTATTAAGAAAAAACATGCCGTTTCCATATTGAAACTGTATAAAAACCCCAAACCCGCAGCAAACCCAACCCAACAACCCAAGCCCTGAACACTTTTGTTTTTGGTGTTCTAGGAACAACTTCAGTTCCTGGGCTCTGCCGGGGAGCAGCAGCACTGCACCTGCTAGGAGGGCACAGGGAGCAAATGCCAGGAAAGGGGTGGCATTGGCCTGGTGCTTCTTGGTGAGCTTGTCACTGCTGTGAATGTATCTTCGTGCTAAAGATCAGTCAGTGAGTGCCAGGCACTTGTGGTTGAGTGCCCTGAACATTAAAAAAAAAAAAAAAAAAAAAAAAAAAAAAAAGAAAAAAGAAAAGTATGCCCTTTACAAAATCTGTTTCTGGGTAAGCAAAGGTGGGTGCAGGGAGCACCCCAGGAACTGGGCAGATGCCAGGGCAGACTGCGGGCTTTGCTCAGACCAGCTCAGTCAGTTGCATTTCACAAAGGCAGGGACAGACAGTACCAAAGGGTCACTTTCTTTGTTCTGTGGATGGAAAGTCCACCAAACTGCTTCAGCTTTTCAGGGGCTAGCTGGATACTAGGTGTGTCTGGGGGTGTCTGGCTGAGGATAGCAGCAGCCACAAGGGCAGAGCCAGAGTGTGACATAAGGGGCAGTGAGGAGTTGGATCAGGTATTTTAGCAGTAGTCAAATTCTATAATTCCCTATGCGAGAGCCTGGCCAGTGGGGAAAGATCACTTTTCACGAGACAGACAATATTTTATTTAATGGGTTTTGGACATTCCCCTTTGCTGCTCCAGGGAGAAATTGCAGAAAGCCTAAGCCAGTAAGTGCATTCAGGCCTTCAGAGTAAATCTTCAATTTAAATACAGAAGTGTTCTAATTCTAAAGAGGAACAGTACAGAAGGAAAATGTACATGGTCTTAACTACTTAGAGTTAATAAATTGTTATATTAAATGATAGAGAAATCATTATCTAGATCTTTTTCTAATTCCTTGCATTTTCTAGACAGCTTACTAAAATATAGGAAATGTAGATTCATCTGTACAAAATTTGGAATGTTTTTTCTAAGATGAAGAACTTACTGGATATGCTAAGAATTCTTTTCTAACAACTGGTTTTAATGCTTTGATTTAGAGGGACTTTGACAAATCAGAAGGTGATACCTCTCACAGGCTAAAGGTCAGGAGCTCTTATACTCTAGGAGAAAAAAGAGAAAAAAAAAGCAAACGCTAACTTTGTGGTCTCTACCACATGTTAAAAATAATCTGCATGTTAAACTGAACTTGCTCAGAACCTCCAGAATAAAAGCATACTTTACACTGTCCTCGCTTTGTTATGCACTGTAATGAAATGTGAAAATAATGCTGTATTTAGCTGTCTGTGATTGAAAATATGCTTGTATTTAGCAAAATGGTTACTATGTGATAATGTGAAATTCAAAACTTGTAAAGAAACTTTGGTGGTTTTGTTTTTTTCCCTTTCCCCCTGCCCATTCTCTCTGTGTGTTCTCTGCTCCCTGTCCCTGCTCTATATTCCAGCCAGGGCTGGATCCACCATTCCCAGGCACTCCTCACAGCCACTGGACACTCTTCCCTGCAGGGCCTGCCTCACTCTGCAGAACCTGTCTTCTGCCTTGCTGAGAAAAAACAGACCCTGCTCCCAGCAGTTGCAGCCACTGCAGCCTTGGCCCTTCCCGGAGGCCTCTGCAGGTCTGGTGGCACGGCAGAACAGCAAAGGGCAGAGCAGACCTAGGCAAGGATTAGTCATTGAGCTCATCTGAGTTTTTGAGTTACTTACCTCAGATCAAACACAAAAATGCCAAACCCTGAGATCTGGACACAGCCACCTCCCATCCCCCAGGAACCAGACACCTTTGAACAAAGGAGCCATTTCAGCTCCAACGCTGTCACCGTCCCCTCTTGACACACAGCAGCAGGCTCCTGGCACTGGCATATGGTGGGGTTGATTTTGCTCAGTTCTGCTTTTGCTGTGCAAAAATGCTTAACTGGTAGTTTCGTTGTGCACAACAAAGGCAGGCAATTGCTGCCTTAGGACTAGCCAGGGGTGGGGGCAGGGGAGGGAAGCACAGGCTGTTGGAATCTCATTAATCCAAACTGAAGAAAAAACTGGAAGAGAAATCAGGCTGTGTTTGCAGCTGCCTTTCCATCATTCCTGATGCCAGAAAAAGGAAAGCAGTAGCCTGCAGCCTGACTGGCGTCATATCCTGCTGCTGTAGCAGATACCTGTTGGAGAATACAGCAGAGCTCCACGTTCCTCTGCTGCAGCCACAGACACTGAAACAAACAGCATAGCCCTGGGGAAGGATGAGCCCAGGCACTTACTGGTGACCAGTGCTAAGGGTTTAGCTACTCTGCCCTTCCCTGCAGCTCACTTTTTGACAGGCACAGTGCTGATAAATCACTTGCTTTCAGTCACCAATTCATGCTGACTCACACTCCTCCTTCCATTCATGCCAGGATCCAGCAGCCACACTTTTCAAAGTCTGCTGCTTCCACGGAATTTTTCACCCCCCCACCCAGTTAAGGGAGGGAAACATTATTAGATCACACATCACATTCATGACTTTCACACAAAGAAAGATGCACAAAAACAGCTGTTTGCCACAACGGTTTAGTTTTGTTATTTTAATATCATGAAATAAAAGTACAAAAATTTTACAAGTATATTGTTTCTTACATGAAGAGTTAACATCTGCATGTATTTTGCAGTGAAACCTGTACTCTCAGTCACAGAATGTGATTATTAGCCACTGACATCACCACCGTGCATTTCATTTTAGAAAGGAACTGCAAAGGTAAGAGGCAACAATCTCGCAAGGCTTCGTAAGGACCAAAAAAATACTCCAGCTGTACCACCAGAGGTCATGTTCCAATCAGCCATTCTGATTTAACAGAGGTTTCATCACCTGGGAGGCTGTGTTCAGACATTTGAACTGGACCTCTGGGCCTATGGGGTGGAAATGGGAGGCTCTTGCAAGCTGTGGACTCTTGGGTCCTTGTTCAATGCATTCGCCGAAACAACCAACGTATGCACGTGTATGAAAAACAAGGGGTCAGAGCTGCAGGCTTGACATCCCCTGTGCGGCTCATTCCTTTCCCATTGCTCTCTGAGGACAAATCACAAACTGCTGCATGTAAAGTGCTGAGAGCTCAGTAACAGGCAGTAAGCTAACCCAGAGTTACGAGTTTATCCAAAACAGATATCCAGGAATGCCTGCAGACTGATGCTGCCATTAACTGACTAAAACAAACCCCAATATTCCACTCTATCTTTTGTTGTTTCCTGGAGCATTACAGTTGCACCCATCTTCCCATCCCAAGTCAAAGTTAACTTCATCAGCTGTACAGAGATGAAAAAGCAAAACCCTGCATTGCCTTAGCCTGTGAACATGTCAGGCTCCATTTCCTACTTGCCCCTCAGCTTTTCAGACAGGCTTTCAGGTAGAAATTTATTTATGACAGACTGGTCTGATCAAAATACTACATCCTTTGCTGGACTGTGTGGTGCCTTTTCAAATAATTAATTTCATGAAGCATGCATGAAACCAAATTTTGAGTTTACAAATAAATAAAATGGTGCTCACCATTAGTTTTTATACACTTTACCATTTACTGAAATGCTGAAAGTAAGTCAGTCCTGAATGAAGTTTGGGGGTGTTTAAATAAAAAATACTTGGCAATTGAAACCACATTTAAAATTGGAAAAATTATGCTTTGTTTTTGGAAGGGTCTTGTTTGTTTCTTCTCTTTACGTCCCAGTTATAAACTCTAGCCATATCTGAGGATGTGGAATTAAGGAAACAGTTCATGCTATCAGAAAAGAGAGAAAAAGAGAGATTTTCAAAAAAGGAGAAAAAGCAGATTACAGAGTTGGCAACTTAGTTACAACAGTCAGTATAGAAACCATTTCATGAAAGGGCTGACTTGCTGCAAAGCTTCAGCTTTCAGGAACACTGGTAGCTGTTGGTAAATGCAGTATTTATATCATTACTTGAAAAACCTCCAAAAAGATACTGCACAGAAACACAATTTCAGTTTTTCCTAACTCTTTGCTGATTTCTGTCAAGCTGCTCATATCAGCTGTATTTGCCTCTTTCAGGCATCCCAAACTCCTGCAGCACTAAGACAGCTCAAGTGTCAACTTCAAAAAACAAGCAGTTGTGCCTTCATGAAACTGCATCTAATGCTTCAGTTAATGGCTACACTCATTAAAATAGTTTTTAACTAGAAAGTATAAAAAACAACCCACATACCCAGGAGGTGGTTCATGACAATATAAAGAGATTTAAAAAACAATGAGCACAGCCCAAGCCAGTCTCAAGTCTGCTGCAGTAAGGCTTGTCCTGCTTGGAGACAGCTGCAAAGGGTGTGATGGGCAACAAAGAACAATATTCATATGCTCTAGAGGAAAGCTCACTGTGCTTTAAGGTGGTAACCAGAGCATCAATCCACACTTCTAACTCACTCTGGAGTCAGTCTGGGTTGCAACCACTGCAGTAGATTTCATGAGGACACAAACACAAGTTTTGTAACCTCTCACACATCAACTTCCAACTCAGCCCTGCAAACACAATATTCCATTTCATTGCTAGGACAATAAAGTTCACAGGTGCTACAGAATTTTAAGGCAGCCAGTCTAAGATAAAAACACATCAGAAAGTTGGTCGTTACCTGGATGTTGGCTTTCACATACATCTCCTCCCTCACATTAATGAAAAGGATACTGACTTCTGTAGTGGTGAACTGATCTCTGAGAAAATCCAGGTCTTCCTCTAGAAGATCGAGGTTTTTTGTGGCTGTTGACAAATTCTTCTCTAAAAGAGCCTGAGCTTCATCAATATCATATTCAAGCATCACATTGGCCTAAAAAAAGAAAAGACTGATAAAAGCTCCTACTCTTGCATTGTACGGACTAAGCCACACCAAGTGTATTTTAGGCTGTTGTTCGCAAATGATCACGTTACCAATAGACTGTCCTGACAGGCCAAGACAAGATTCAGGACAGGCAATGTCCAAATCCACATGAGGCCTCCACCCCTTCAGTAACTGAGTAATAAATCTCCCTAGTGACTTAAAGTCCTATAGCTAAGCAAAGAGGGATTTCTTCCCCTGTGGATCACATTCAGTCTTTCAGGCATTAGGATCTCATCCTCACTGCATCTGGAAAGTGAGAGACCTTATATTTCTTAGCAGCACCGTTCAGGTGCCACACAGCTCTAGAAACAGTTTTTGCTGGATTTAAGATAAACCTCAGGCTCTGTGTGGAATGCTGAGAAACAGCTAGCACTGTCAG